GAGGATTAGATGGGATAATATATTTAAAGTGCCTGGCACACAACTGTAGCCCAATAACTGCAGATTTCCTTCCCCTTCCTGTTCAAGATCCATAAAATTCAGTCAGAGGAGAACTGAAGTTGAAGGGAATGCCTAAAAACCACACTGTTGGTCTGGGCACACAGCCATTCTCAAAAGTAGTAAGTAGCCAAAGACCTGAGGCATTCAAGGCCACTAAAAACCATCAGAATGGCTCCACTGATGGGGCCCAAGAACACAGAATCTTTTCTACTACAGTGAGTAGCCAGATCAAGTGCAATGGCATCAACCTTGACAGCTAAGGATTCAAAAGTCACATTCTAAGTTTCTGCAATGCAATCAAATCAGTGCACACATTTTACCAATGACACCTTGAGGCATCTAAACACAGCACAGGCATAAACAGGTAAAGCATTCATTATTTTTCTACCAATGATACAAACCAACTCAACAAGCTCTTTATGTGAGATTTCAATGCGTGAAGTAACAAGGCATCCTCACATCCATGCAGAGGAACACTTTATACAGGTTAGATTAGATTAAGTTGCTTCAGCTTTGATTTCATAAATAATTGTTGACCTTCATTTCAAATACTGTTAATATTTTATTATCCTGAGGTGTGAACAAAGCTTCAGGGGGTCTAAACAACAGTCTATTACTGAAGTTACCATCTTTGTTTAACTCACAAACTTTGGCTAGTGTTTTGAGGTCAGTATCTCCACGGAGTTGGCTTTTGAAGGTCTCCTAGGGCACATAAAGGCCCCTGGTATATCCAGCAGAAGAGAAATTCCAGTGTTGTGGGAAACTGAAGGAAACACTTGTTGAGGGTTTTGGCACAGGTTATAAGGAAGAAAAGAAGTCCTTTTCAAAATCTCTGGTATTCAGCTGCAAAGGCCCCCAGACTCTCGAAGGCAGTTCAGAGGAGGACATGAATCCATCAGCATCCACCTGGCTAGCTGGCTGACTGCCTTGAGCATTGTTAACTCATGCCCGACCTCAGTCCACCTCCACAGATAAATGGGGACTTCAGGAGACCCAATCTGTCCTGTAGCACAACCTCTGACCTCTGGCTGTGAAGTCCAAGTACTTTTCCATTTGGGGAAAAAAAACAAATCATAGTAATTCTATTTTGAATCCATCAGCACTTGTGGCATAGCACAGTCCTGAGCTTATATAAGGTAAAAAAATAAGTCAAATGTACACATGCAATTGTAGGTTACACTTTAATAACTGCAGATATTGAAAGCTATCTGTGCTTGTAAAAAGCCATGCAGTAAATCACCTGAAGAAAATGCCCTGGCTTGGTTCTAGGGAGTCTACAACTCTCTTTTCATTCCATCAATTAAGATGCTTTGAATGACTTTATCATCAGGAACCTAGCTAGTGAGGACTAAGGGTTCTTTCATGTTTCAGTAGATCTATAATAGTTGCATCAACTTAAAGTACTAGGTTAGAGTACCAGCACTAGGCAATGCATAGGGGGGGAAAAAAAAAAAAGACTAGATCCAAACTTTTTGTTGGTATTTTCTTTTAAAGTCCTGAGTCTGCCAATACAAAAGTGACATAACTTGTTTCTCCCCAATGAGTCAATCTACCCACCTTGCAACCTGTGATTAGGAATGTGCTGATTAAGGAAGCTAAAATTTTTCTCTTTTTTTCTGTAAAGGACCAGAGAGTAAATATTTTAGGCTTGCAGGCCATAAAGTAGCAACTACTACTCTGCTGATGTAGGCTGGAAGCACTCACAGAAAACAAGTAAATCAATGTGGTGGCTCTGTTTCAACAAAACATTTTTTTGTGGACACTGAAATTTGAATTTCATATAAGAAATTTTCACATGTTACAAAGTACTGTAATTTTTTGCAACCATTTAGACATGCAATTTACTTCACATGCTGTACAAAAAAGTCAGCCCAGTTTGCCCCACCAGACACATCCCTGCTCTAAGAGAAGCAGGTTCCCTGCTTCTCTTGCCCTAAGTGAAACAGAATCTCAGTTTTGAAACTAACACACCAAACCAAATTACTGAAATGGTGCTACTACAATAGTCTTAAAGCTGCTTTAGCTCAAAGAAGCCTTGCATCTGTAGGCTATAATAACTAAATAGCAATTGTTAATGAATAAACATTGTGGAAGTGCCAAAGTGCTGCAGAATTCTTTTAACCATAGAATCTCCCATCATAATTTCTTAATAAAATAACCATAAGGAAAGCTGCGCTACGTATGGTACAATCAAATCCATAACCTTATTTTCATGCAACTCCAGTTGCCTCACTACTTTTTTCTGCGGGGGGCGGGGGGCGCGCGGTGCTTTTATTTTTCCCCTTTTCACAAAACAAAGTAGAAGAAATAACAAGACAGGATTAAAACCACAAAAGTAGTTAAATTGATAGACCATGTAAACAAGAAAAAAAAAATCCAGATAAGACAACAGGTTTATATACAATGAGGAAACACATGTAAATTAAGGTAGCTTATAGTTTTCATATGAAACATTAAAAAAATCAAACATATGCTACATGGGTGCCACTGTTTACAACAATATTGAAGGGGAGAAAACAACACTTCAAAGTCCAAGTGCAATAAATTCACAGAACTATACTACAGCTAATGAATTAGAGTTTAAGACCTGTTCCCAAATATATCACATTTTGGGCCCTTAGAGGTTCATTCCACATGTCTCACTATGAAAATCACACACCCAAATGAACATGAGAAGGCCTGTGTAAAACTATTAACATGATGGGTGGGGGGAACCATTAGAGTTGCTACTTCACAAGCAGCAAATTTTATAAAGCAAATCTAAGATCCTGGAATACAGGTTGGGGCAAAAGTAGGTTAACAGTTGTTCGTAGGGAATAATTAATAAGCAGTAATACAAGAATGAACTGTGCTCTGCATACTCACAATTGCACATCTACTTTTGCCCCACCCCATATAAAGCGAAGAGGACAGTCTCCTAATTCACCTAACTTCATCGTGGTTTCTATACATGTCTCTTTTGTCCACTTTAACCTTATTTGTAAATGTTTTCATAGTGATTGTATCATCTCAAAATAATGTCTGGATCAATTCTAAGGAAAAGAAGTAATCTCCCCCTAAATATTCAGAAATCACCAGATTAGTCCTCACCTTGAAGAAATTAGCTGCCAAATTGTTAGCACAACTGGTTTAAACACATACAAACCACACATACATGCACACACAAACACATTCATATAAACATGCACACATACACACTTGAATATCTCCGAAGCATAATGAAGTAAATGAAGTATCTGAAACCAGTATTAATTTTCCTTAGAGCCTGACAGATTCAGCTTTAAAAACGTATACCATTAGAAAGTAATCTCTGTTAACAGATATTCTAAGGCTATATCTACGGCTATAATTCTACCTAGGTTCCATAAAAATCAAAGAGTTTACACAGTTTTTCAATTTTTAAAATATGTCCAATTTTATGAGCATTGAAGACATATCAAGTGTGCTGTAGAAGAGGCAGTCACAAGTGTTAGAACAAACATCTACAGCTAAGAGACTCACACCTGTAATTACACTTCAGAGGAAATAAGCCTCCTTTTTACCCTATCCAAAGCCGTATTTCTACCACGTGTTGAAAATGACCTTTTTAATTCATTTTACACCATTATCTGTGTTCCATATGGAGATGTGACATTTTTGTTACTGTACATTATCACTACACTAGAGTTGTTCATCTAAAAATGACTAGTGTAAGTAATCCATAGCAAAGAATGTCCTTTTCAACTTAAGATCACCTACTAGCTTTACGCACACTCCTCACAGTATCATAGGTGTGATACCTAACAAACTGCAATAACTGTGGGATTACAAAAAAAAATTATGGAAATTTATGATTTCCTTTAAAAGTAGGAAAAGGGCCACTTTAAATATTTGCTAAATAAGAACTAAATGCTATTTTTCTAAATAAATTCTTTTACCTCCTTAGATAATTCTTTATTTTCATTAAAACGCATGAAATCAACCTGAGTGTAAACTCGCTGAACACCTGGCATACATAATAAGAAAAGCAACAGAGGAAAATGAGAAACCTATGAAAATGATGAGACACAAAATAGGGAATAAGAATTGGATTCTGTTCCCTGGAAAAGCAAACTGTATTATAAACGCTAGCTATTACCAGCCAACACTCTGGCAGAGTTCAAAAGCCTCTTTTCAATGAAGTAAACTGTACATTGCAGTACGGTGAAATATGAAATATCTCACCCTTAATTCCACAGCTGACCTGCACATACTTCTTTAAGTAGCACAAAACTAAGCTAATGAAAAGACGGCCCAGCCCGCCCCACTGCCAAGTACAACTCTCAGAATTCACTCCAGCCCAGTTCTGGTTTTAAAACCATCCCGGTAAAAACTTACATCCCCTTCTTTCCTACCCCATCTTTCCGCTCAGACAACATCAAATTATGGAGATGTTCCCTTAGGTAGGGCAGGAAGGCTGGGTAGGGTAGGAGCGAGGGCCTGTCAAACAGTTGCTTCGGGCAAAATGTCACCCAAATAAGCCCGGAGAGGTGAGCGTCTGGCGACGCACGGTTACCTTTCTTTATGACCCTTTGTATGATCTGATGTTCAACCAGACAAAAATAAAGGCCAGCTATTCGGGGGCATGGAGAGTGTGCAGCGTGACGGGCTTGGCCTACTCGCTTATACCTCAGACCTGGTGCCAGACGGGTGCCTACCACGGTGGGCCGAAGTGGCCGAGCGTCTGCAGCAACCTTCTGGGTCGCGGGAACAATGCGCGGTCCGGGACGCACACGCTCGGGCCCGCGGCGGGGATACAAGAGGTCTCTGCAGCCAGGCAGATAACAAAAGGCACCGCCGGCACCCGCCAGGCACCTGGCAAGGAAACTTTTCGTGGGGCCGAGGCCGACGCCCCTCACAATGGCCGCCGAGCGCGGGAAGGCTGGGCCGGCATGACCCCGCCCAGCCAGCCAGGCCCGTACCTGGTGGTTCTCCTTCCTGCCGCCCGCTGGCGCCGACGGCCCGCCCGGGCCGCTCGTCATGTCCACGTACAGAGAGCGCGTGATGGGGCTCCGCAGCGTCCACATCCTCCGCGCCAACCACACGGACGCCAGGCTCAGGCACAGCCAGCCCGCCAGCAGTTTCATCAGGGGCACCGGCCGCTGGGTCCGATCACCTCCGGCGCCGAGGCGAGGAGCAGGACGCGCCGCCGCCTGGGGCTGCCGCTGTCGCCCGGGTTCGAGCCATCGTGCCCAACTTGCCCATCCAGCCCCTGCCCGGCCGAGGAGGGGGAGGAGAGGGGCGGACTATGCGCAGCCTTCCCGCCTCCCTTTCCTTTCCGTGCGTGGAACGCCGTAACCGCTGGCAAGAGTTTCCAACCGGAGCACAAACGAGCGGCGGAGTGCGTTGTGGCCCGGGCGCTGTCCTTCCGCCCAATCAGCCAGCCCGAGCAGCCGAGAGGCGGGACAAAGGGAGCGCACGTACTCCTGTCGCGCGTTCCAGTCCTGGTCTTTTCCGGTACCTCGATTCACAGCAGAGATCATTTTAATTCTTTTTAGGGCATGTGCGATCCCTTCCGAAGGGGGCGACTGAAACCTCCCGGTCCTTCCAGGGTGGTGGCCGCAGGACTTCTGGTCTTTCCTCGCCTTGGTGGTTATCTCTGTGCCGCTCATGCCCCACACAGGGCGACTTCGATCTGGTTGTGCGTACCGGCTCGAGGCTGTGGAGGGGTCTTAACTCTCCGGGCATTCAGGTCCACTGCCTTGGATACTGACGAAGGCAGGTCTTCTCTGTAACTGGCTAAGCTGCGTGGCTTCCTATTTACATTCAAAGCCGACGAGCCAGACCCCCCACCCCAGGGGCGTCCATCCTTTGCCAGGGCTGCAAACCAGACAGGAGTTTGGGGGGAAAGGATACCATCCCGACCGGTCCCCCAGGTCAGGCCAGTTACAACTGGCTTCTAAGAGGTATCAGTAGAAGCGCTGCCTTTGTTGGAAGCTGCTGCTGCTGGGTTACCAGCAAGTCATGTTTTGATGTACTATTGTTGACACTGTACAAAAATGAAGGCCCGAAATTAGAGTCCCTGGCTGCAATCGAACTAAGCTCTGGGAGCAGTATTTACCCGGATGTTTCTTTGATCATTAATAGCTCGGGGAGCCCTAGCAACCTTGCAAAACTGAAGGGTTACCCTGTGTTCCTGTGTCTGAAGTTTTTCTTGCTGCTACCCAACTAGCAACTAAGGAATAAATAATATATATTTATATAATATTAATATATAATAAGTATATATTACATATATGTATATATGTAATATATAGTAATTATATATATAATTGTATATTGACATATCTACATATATAATAATATATTTATATAATATACATTTTATATAGTCTTAGTTCAAAATAAATCAACCTTTCTAATAACTCCAATATTGCACTTCAAATACTGTCATTTATGGAACAGCAATCTGCTGATACAGAACAGTTTTTCGTTGAGGCTAACACAATGTGTTATACAGCTTACTGTCTAGTAGGGAGGCAGACCTTACAAGCAATCAAAGAATACAAACATTTTTATTAGCTCCTAAGAATCTCATTTGGCACCTTTCACCAACAGACATCGCGTTGCCTAATGTGACATGGGCTGTAACAAAAACAAAAAAAGAATGGGGCAGGAAAGGGGGAGGGTATTTTGTGTTCTTTTTTTCAAGTATCTTCCCTGACTGCTTTCTGCCAAAACTCCAAATAGCCTTCATCTTACTAAATCTAGTTCAAACCTCTTGGTCCAAATCATCAAAAATGAACTGTAGTAGCAAGTCAAACGGTTCAATTTGTTTACCATGTCACCTCTCCCTCCTGTCTCTTGGGATTAGTGTCACAGGTAAAACAGCTCTGTGCCAAAAAACAAAATAAAAACCTTTCAAAGGGATGGGTTGAGGAAGGCGGTGAAAGCAGCAAAAGTAAATAAAATGGCATATTTCATTTATAAAGACAGAGGAGACAATTAGATATATCCCCCAACTATAAGCCTGATGAGCTGCAGCTCAGAGACTGCAAAATGTGTCACATGAGCGAAAAGCAACTAGGTGGCTGCTACAGTCTGAAGAATTAAGGTTATCTGACTGCCACAGAGCCTAGCACCTCAAAAGGAGATTTTCACCTTATTCCTGAGTAGCAGATCTGGAAAAATAAATCATTCTCACATTACAATACTCTATAATAATAACCAAATACTCAAACATACGTTATTTGCACTGAGCAAGACCAGAAAGAAACCAAAACAGAGTGTGCTCCAATGAGCAAATTCAATACCAGACCTTTTCATAGAACCTGGTATCTCAGCCCATTGCCCCTTGATCCATCTAAGAAGCCTTGCTGTCTCTCTCAGAGAGCCTCCTGAATTATAAATGAGGAGGAAGGGAAAACAGCAAGAGCAAATATACTAAGCAGGAGTTGAGATTGCCCTCTGGAACTGCCTCCTTCCTTCATTTACTAGAATGTCACTACTGCATATTAAAACCTCTGTTATCCATCATGGGGAGCAGAAGAGGCAGAGAACACACAAAAACAAAATACAGGCCAATATCCTTTCTAATGTAGCTTTGAAATGCAGGCAATGATATTCAAAAGACTAAATGACAAGATCTGTGCTGAACTCTGTATAGCTTGGCTCACAGCTCCGTGCACAGGCCCAAAATCTTGGCTGGATCATTTTCCTACCTAGAGTTCTAGGCAAAGAAGCTTTTGGTTGTAATTGTTCTTATTGGCTACATATTATGGCATTTTCATGTTTTCTTTTCAATTACAAAGTAAAGTATAAGGAGAACCTGTAGGGAAAGAAACTTGGCTCTCTAGAGGGCAAAGAATGTGCCAGTCACTATTGGTCATTGTCCTCTATTTGAAGAAATAAAAATCTAGCCCTGACTGGTGTGGCTTTTTGGGCTGAGTGTTGTCCCACAAGGCAGAAGGTCTCTGGCTCACTTCCTGGTCAGTGCACATGCCTAGGTTGTGGGCCATGCAAGAGGCAACCAATACTAATGGATATTTCTCTCTCACATCCATATTTCTCTTCCTCTTTCTCCCTCTCTTCCTCATCTCTAAAAATAAATAAATAAAATCTTTTAAAAAAGAAAGAAAAGAAATAACAGCCTAAAAGAACTCATATAATCATGTTTTCATGGACTTAATGTTTTTATACCTAACAACGTGTTGAAGAGTGTCAGAAAAAGGTACAAGTTTTCCTCAATATTTTTAATAGATGTGTCCTGTGGTTATTAAGCAATGGCCACCTCTAAAAAATAAAATCAGTAAATGTATTCAACATTTTTTTAAATCAGTAAATGTAGGGGATTCTTATCTAGATTTGGTTGATATAATTTCAAACTTACAACTACATCATTATGGTCTCTGATAAATTCTAAGCTAAGGTGAAACTGCAAACAGATTGAAAAAAAAAATGGCAACATAAAGTAGCAGAATTGAACCAGCTGGTTGGAAGACCTATAGCAGCAACATTGTATCTACTGGAGATCTCCCAATGCTACTCATTATTAGCAGGGCGGTTTATCCTCTGAGCTGGTGAGACAGACTGCATGGGTTTGACGCCTGACTCTATGCTTCTTAGTTATGCAATCTGTGGCAAACTTGACCTCTAAGTCTCAGTCTCATCTTTAAAATGGGAATAATAATAATAATGGTTACCTATCTCATGGAGATGTGGTGAGGATTAAATAATATATTCTAAATATAGAGGGTTTAGTGTAGTGCCTCAACACAATGAGTTCTCAAAAATGTTAGTTTGCTCTTGTTTTCAATATGACTTAGATAAATCAATGTCTTCTGAGCCATTCTTTCCTCATCTATAAACTGAGGGCCATGATTCTGAACTGCATACTTTATAATATGTCTGTGAGACTCAGATGTTATGAAAGCTTTATAAAGTGTAAAAACATCAACCAATGTCATCATAATAGGGATACTCAGTCCTAATATGACTGTGGTCTCTGCAAAGCTTTTCTTTTTCCCATAAAACACTCCTCTAGAGCCCCAAATGATAGGCCCTCCTCATAATATATCTATTCCCAGACCCCTTTCTGAGACTAAGACTATGGAAGTGAGGATGGGGGTAGGGGAAAGGAATCTAAAATACAAAACTATGAAACTTTCAAACCTAAAAATCACAAAATCAGGCAGCAAACTCAAACCATATATTTGTCAGGGATCCTTGTCTTTCTAGTAAGAAAGTCTTTCCCCTCTGACATATGCCAGCCATAACCATCTCATGTGCTTAGAAGATTTTGAATCCCATGACTTCCCTCTGATGGCAATCCCATACCTGTTTCAGTTTGTGTCAGGAGTAATATTAGAAAGACAAAGAAATGCCATTTTCACATAGTCAATAAATATTTATGGAGTGCATACAACACCCCAGCAATTGGACTAAATGGAAAGGAAAGCAAAATAAACACAAAATGTGTCAGTTTCCCACAGCTTACTGTCTAGTAGGGAGGCAGACCTTCCAAGCAATTACAAAGAACACACAAACTGCTGAGTGCTAGAAGGAATTGCATATTGTTAGGAGAATTAACAGCAGAGAGACTTAACTGCAGGGCCAGGGATGGGAGAGGCTGGGGGCGGGGTGGAGGCTGTTCAGGGAAAGCTGCCCTGAGGAAGTGTGGCTTTGCTGCCTCGTTTTGACAACTGTTTGCTAAACTGGAGAGCTTCCCAGTTGCCACATTTCTCTTCACTGCAGTGCCCCCTTCTAATCCCTGTTGGTACAAATGGTGTCAAACAATAGTTCAGTGTAATGTTATAAGGAAATTTGTGACTTCACTTTATACTGCCTCCCTGCCCTGTGCCTCAGTTTATTTACTATAAAACCAGTCACTTGTGTGCTTATGTTGTGCCTATACACAACTGCTTCTAGGATCTTTAAAAGAAATATAATAGTTTAAACAACTTAAAATATACATATTTCAACTCAGCAAGATCCCTCTTGTAGCAGGTCTGAGTCAGAGCTCTGATGAAAAAGAGGAGGGTGTTGTTTTCATTAACTTTCTGGGGCATTTTCAAAGGTTCAAAGATCTTTCATCTTGTTTTAAGTGTATTTCCAATCTGTCCCTATCCTTGGCCTCTTAATTGCTATCTCCTGCATATATGTGAGTTTGGTCCTGTCAATGGCTGCTTCCTCTCTATGCAACTGTAAATCATGCCACTGTGTTTTCAATATACTTATGTTGAAACTATAAAGCCTTCCTGTTTTGTGACTATTAAACATTCCAACTATGGTTTATATGAAATACATGGAAAAAAATTGCATGACACAGTCAGCAAGC